CACTCACCTCAGCCTCCCAAAGGCGCGGAATTACAGGCTGAGCCACCGAGCCCAGCTCATCTCTCTTTTTAATAGAGACAGTGGTCTCACTATGTTGCCCCGGCTGGCCTTGAACTCCTGCCTCAAGTGAGCCTCCCTCCTCAGCTTCCCAAAGTGCTGGGCTTACAGGCATGAGTCACCGCGCCTGGCCTCTCTCTGTCTCTCTGAGTCGGAGTCTCACTCAGTTGCCCTGGCTGGAGTGCAATGGCACGCTCCCGCAGCCTCCACCCACTGGACTCAAGTGATCCTTCCACCTCAGCTTTCCAAGTAACTGGAATCACAGGTGTGCACCACCATGCTTGGCTAATTTTTTGATTTGTTGTAGAGACAAGGCCTCACCAAGTTGCCCAGGCTGGTCTTGAACTCCTGGGCTCAGGCAATCCTCCTGCCTCTGCCTCCCAAAGTGCTGAGATTACAGGCATGAGCCACAGCACCTGGCTCTCCCTTTTTAAGAGAGCGTCTCCCTCTGTTACCCAGGCTGGAGTGTGGTGTGGTCATAGCTCACTGTAACCTCAAACTCCTAGGCTCAGGCGATCCTCTAGCCCCAGCCTCCCTAGTAGCCAGGACTACAGGTGTGTGTCACCATGCCTGGCTCTCTGTCTCATCTCTGACTCTCTCTCTCCTCATTTCTCTGTCTGTCTCTGTTAGTTTCCTACTGTTGCTACAATAGATCATCACAAACTGGGTGGCCTAAAAAAGCACACATGTATTCTCTGAGTTCTGGAGGCCAGTAGTCCTAAATTAAGGGTTGCAGGGTTGGTTCTTTCTGGAGTCCCTGAGAGTGGATCCATCCCGTGCCTCCCCCCTAGCTGCTGGTAGCTGCCGGCAATCCTTGGCCTTTCTCGGCAGGCGGCTTCCCTCCAATCTCTGTTCTGTCTTCACACACCTCATCTGTGGTATTGTCTCAAATCTCCCTCTCCCTTCTCTTTTAAGGACACCTGTCTTTGAAATTAGTTGAGCCTGGTAGTGCGCACCTGTAGTCCCAGCTACTCGGGAGGCTGAGGCAGAAGAATTGCCTGAGCCCAGCAGGTCGAGGCTGCTGTGGCCATGAGCGTACCACTGTATTCCAGCCTGGGCAACAGAGTAAGACCTCTACGAAAAAAAAAAAAAAAAAGACATCTGTCTTTGGATGTAGGGCCCAGTCTAAATCCAGATGATCTTGTCTTAATTATTTCTGAAAAGACCCTATTTCCGTTTGAGGTCACATTCACAGGTCCTGGGAATTAGATGTGTCTTTCGGGAACGGGGACACAGCTCAACCCACTACACCCTGTCTCTTCCTTACTTCTCTTCATCTCTGTCTGTCTGTCCTTTCTCTTGGAGTCTCTGTCTGTCTCCTCCTGTCTGTTTCGACTCCCGTTCCCACATTTCAATCTTGAACTCGGAGTCCCACCCTTTCGCTCCCGCCTCACGTACCAACTCCGATGGGCTGAGAACCCTGGAAATCGGCCCAGATACCCATGACGTCACTGGCTGAGCCAAAGCAGGCCGGTGATTGGAGGGAAGTTGGGAGTAGGTCAGCTGACCTGGGTTGGGGGCACCCGAAATTGTCTTTCTAACCTTCAGGCTTTTTTTTCCCCCCCCCCACCCTGACCAGGGCTTGCACGTACAGGCAAAACCGAAAACTCCTGCTGCGCTAGGGCGGCGGTTTGGGGGCTTGTAAGGAGAAAGGAAACGTTTAATAAAATCTGTGACAAATTCCTCAGTGTCTCTGCCAGTTTCCTGGGACCCCCCCCCAGCTCTTTTTCTACCTGACTGGGTGCTTCTGACCGGCTGGGACCAGGTCTCACTCAGCAATGATTCCAATTCAAGGCAGAAGTGGCCTGGACCTCCTAAGGGATGGACAACCTGTTGTGAGGGTTTGAAGGGAGAAGACCCCCTCCTTGGGGGGGGTCGAGTGGGGGGGTGCATCCAAAAGGAGATGGTGGGACCCTCAAGGAAGAAGCGCAAGAGCAGCGGTCAGTGTGGGGGATACAGGCTTCCGTCTCCATCTGAACGCTAATTTGTCACCCACCGCGTACCTGAAAACGGATACATTTTCATGCAAATCTTTCGCTATCAGAACACAGGCTACTGGACTCCCCGACTCAAAGTAGGGACCAAAGAGATTTGGACAACATGGAATCCTTCTATTTCTGAAACCCGCCAGGAGAACTACCACTATATAATTCAGGATTCGGATCATGTACAAGGGGATGGGCGGGAGTTGAGAAAAAAGCTCAAGTTCGCTGAATATTCGGTGCCTCGCACGACCGATACCTGGCTTGGAGCAGATATTCAGGAAATATTTGTTGAATAATTGAGAGTGGTGGGTGTTGGTGGGGTGAGCGTGAGGGGAAGCCTTGTAAAGATGGTTTTGACACAGTGGAGGACTTTAAATGCCAGGGAAAGGAGTTTGGTGGGTTTTCTCAGGATCTGGGATTCAAACCTTTAATTACTCATGGATGCAGCAGGTAAAGTGAACTGCGAGGTCCCATTCATAGGGATAGGAAATGCTCGGCACCTCGGCGAAACAACAGCGCCAGTGTTTTCAGAGCTTCCCGTTTTTCAAGAGAACCTAAAAATTCAGATTTGCATGTGAAATTTCTCATAACATGGTGATGGAAACATAAAATAGTGTTGGCAATTAATTTATTGCAAATACAGCAGGTCAATCAAAACACATCCTAGCTACAACTTCTGGGACTGACTACCGCTTGTAGATTTTATATTAGTGAAAGATTAGCAAAGAAAGTTTTAAGCGTTGAAATATTCCGTGACTCCATAATTACTACATTTCCCAGAGGCCTCTGCCTGCAAGCATCTGCTGCCATAGATACTATCATCCCTGTTCTTTTAAAGGTTCAAACTTCTGGCCAGGCTCGGTGGCTCACGCCTGTAATCCCAGCACTTTGGGAGACCGAGGCGAGAGGATTGCCTGAGTCCAGGGGTTCGAGACCAGCCTGGGCAACGTGGCGAGACCTCGTCTCTACAATACATCAAAAAATTAGGCCGGTCATGGTGGCATGTGTCTGTAGTTCCAGCTACTTGAAAGGCTGAGGTGGAAGGATCGCCTGAGCCCAGCAGGTCGACACTGGAGTGGCCGTGAGCATACCACTGCCCTCCAGCCTGGGCGACAGAGCGAGACCCCAACTCAAAAAGAAGAAGAAGAAGAAAGCCATTGCCTTGCCAGACTCTAGTGTGTGGTCATGTGCTCCTTGAGCGATGGCTGTCGCCATGCTTCCTGGCTTTGGCCCCCTACCCCACCTTGGGGAGGTGAATCTTCTCTTTCTCTCTGTCTCTCACCCATTTACTTTAAATAAACTATATTTTCTAATCTAACTTCTGTGCAATTCTTTGCATCTTTCCTGCGGCATCGGATAGCACCCCAGACACCCACACTGCCAGTGGGCCCGACCTAACACTCTGGAGGTCCCACTGGGAGGGGGTGACCCCAACATATTTGGAGGTCCCGCGGTGATAAGCCCCTCTCTCGCGCTCTCATTCTCCGCTTACACCGAGACCTGCCGCGCTCTCTCTCCTCTCCAAAAGTCCTTAAAGATACCCATATCAGCCGTGCTCAGTGGCTCAGCCTGTAATCCCGCGCCTTGGGAGGCTGAGGTGAGTGGATGGCCTGAGCCCGCGGGTTCGAGACCCGCCTGGGCAACTTGGCGAGACCTCATCTCTACAATAAATCAAAAAATTAGCCGGGCATGGTAGTGCGCGCCTGTAGTTCCAGCTACTTGGAAGGCTGAGGCGGAAGAATCGCCGGAGCCCAGCAGGTCGAGGCTGCGGTGGCCGTGAGCGTGCCACTGCGCTCCAGTCTGGGCAACACAGTGAGTCTCTAGCTCAAGAAACAGAAACATTAATAATAATAATACTTTTTTAAAAGGTACGAACTTCTGATTGGCCGAAAGTTTGACTTCTTGGTGTCAGTCACACCCCGTTGCCAAGATACCGGCTTTGGCACATGCGCAGTAGCGCGCACTCGGAATGGGGCGCAGCGGGGGCGCCAACCCCTGAGAGGGATCCGGCTCCCACCGAAAGGATTCTGGGAATGGTAGTTTCCGGGCTCCGTTTCGTCAGGCGCGCTCCCCTACGCGCCTCATCCCGCGCGGCCCTTTCCCTCCCGCGCTATCGGAAAAGTCTGCGTGGGAACGAGGCGCTGACATCTGGGCGTTTCCATCTCTGACCCGGGTACTGCCTCCTCGGTCCCACGACCCCGAGCGTCTCCTGGGAACCGGCTCCAGTCGCTAGGGGCGTGGCTGGTCGCCATGGCGACGGCACGCCTGGCGCGCTACGTCACCGTCATGTGTGCGCTCGCCGGGGGCGTGGCTACGGTCGCTAAAGACGCTTATGCCGGGAGCCAGACCTCCGCCCACCCCCGAAAGGCTCGGACCTGGGGTTCGCAAACTAGTGGCCCAAAGATGCTTTCTGCTTGGGTAGCAGTGAGCAGTGTTATGGGGTTTTTAAAAAGTCTTCACGCAGCAGATCCAGACACTCCCTTAGCTTCATGGGAATTTCCTGGGAGAAGTGCACCTTAGACAGATCATTAAATTGCGCATGATTTATATATAGTATGTTGAAAGCCCCCGGAGAGGGCAGACTGGCGCGGGAGAGAGACAGACAGTTACTAAAAAATTACAACACGCCACTTATTATAATAGCAGCCCTAGGATGCTCCTGCGGGAACCCAGGGGAGGGAGTTGCCGACTCCTGCTGGGTCAGTGGGAATCCGAGAAAGTTTGCTACAGGAGACGCTGTAAGAACTTGTTCTTGCAAGAAAAGTAGGTGTTTTCTAAGAGAAGTGGTGGGAGGCCAGGTTTGGTGGCTCAGCCTGTAATCCCAGCACTTTGGGAGGCCAAGGTGAATGGATTGCCTGAGCCCGAGGGTTCGAGACCCCCCCTCCGCAACTTGGTGAAATCTTGTCTCTACAATAAATCAAAAATTAGCCAGGCGTGGTGGCGCGCGCCTGTAGTTCCGGCTACTTGGAAGGCTGAGGCGGAAGGATCGCCTGAGCCCAGCATATCGAGGCTGGGGTGGCCATGATCGTACCACTGTACTCCAGCCTGGGCGACAGAGTTAGACTCCAACTCAAAAAAAAAAAAAAAATAGAAGAAGTGGTGGGGGGAAAAGGCAGAGAGACCAGCAAACCCAAAACCATGGAGTGAGAACACCAAAGAAGGCAAGAATGCTATACACAGGCGTCATAGCCTACAATTTTAATGACAATATCAAGAACATTGACTTGCTCTTGCCCTAGGGATAGTAAAAAAAGTAGGAACCAAGAGTCATTCCTTAATCAGAAGTCAACATGGCGGATTACCAGCCAAGATGGAGTCACTTTTGTCTCCACAATGCAACATGCCTGTCACAGATTAGCTTAGGCTCTGGTCCATGCCACTTTGACTTGGGAGTCCCAGCTGACAGTGCAACCTCTACTTGGAGCATTCCATCATCAGGACACAGGGGAAAGAGACAGGTGAACTTGGCAGTGGAAAAATGTAGTGGTTGCATATAAGGGCTGGACATCCTGTCTCTGTCCTCCACCTGCTCTGGGGTCTTGAGCAGATTGTCTCAGTGTCCTTATCTGTAAAACGGAGAGAGCAATGCCTTCTTCATAGGGTGGTCGTGCCAGTTAAATGAGCTAATAAAAGTCACAATGTGTTAATAAATGACAACTATTGTTACTTCATTTTGGCAACGGGCTGTCTAGTTTTTGCTCATGTACTTGCATATGTTTTACATGAAAGAGATATAACTTTAAGATTTTTATTCCTTAACTTTCTTTTGTAAGCACTTCCTGGCTGAGCACAGTGGCTCACACCTGTAATCCCAGCACTTTGGGAGTTCGAGGCAAGAGGATTGCTTGAGCTCAGGAGTTGGAGACCAATCTGAGCAACACATGGAGACCTCCTTTCTTTCTTCTTCTTTTTTTTTTAGTTGGAGTCTCACTCTGTTCCGCAGGCTGGAGTGCAGTGGCACGCTCATTGGCACCACAGCCTCGACCTGCTGGGCTCCGGCGATCCTTCTGCCTCAGCCTTCCAAGTAGCTGAAACTACAAGCGCACGCTACCACACCCAGCTAATTTTTCGATTCATTGTAGAGATGTGGTCTCTCCAAGTTGCCCAGGTTGGTCTCGAACCCCTGGGCTCTGGCAATCCTCTCACCTTGGCTTCCCAAAGTGCTGGGATTATAGGCTTGAGCCACTGCGCCTGGCCGAGACCTAGTTTCTATGAAAAAGTAAAACAATTAGCAGACGTGGTAGCAGGCACCTGCAGTCTCAGCTACTTGAGAAACTGAGGTAGGAGGATCACTTGAACCCAGGAGCCTGAGGCTGCGGTGAGCTATAATCACACCGCTACACCCCAGCCTGGGAGACAGAACAAGATCCTGTCTCTAAAATTTAAAAAACTAAAGAAAAGATGCAGCCATAGACAATATGTCAGTGGATGGGCATATCTCTGATTTAATAAAGCTTTTGTTTGTTTGTCTTTGAGTCAGAGTCTCACTCTGTCACCTAGGCTGGAGTGCAGTGATGCAATTATAGCTCATTACAACCTCGAATTCCTGGGCTCAAGCGACCCTCCTGCCTCAGCCTCCCAAGTAGCTGGGAATACAGGTACATGCTACTGCAGCTGGCTAATTATTTTTACTTTTT